TGGATCTCCTTAGAACCACACTGGCACGTCTCTACTTTTCTTTTTCTTCCTTTGTAGGAGGATGTCTGTACTTTATATTTATAGAAAAAAAAATTAGATGAAAAAAATAGTAGAATATAGTACACGACATGTGGAATTAAAATGGTAAAAAAAGGAATTACGATTAAACTATGAACTACTACCAACGACCTCTTATATTTAATATTGGTTACTTTGGTAGGTGACAATATTTGTTTTGAAGCTTTAATGATATATTGCTGGTGATATCAATGTTAATTAAGTGATATATTTGTATAACATTTTATTCGATCAATTTAGCAAATATTTCAAATGCAGAAGTAAATTGTGTATAACACTTTTAAAAAGTACACAGACGGCATCGCTATATTTATCCGAACATTCCATTTAACTAGATTTTTTTTAGGAACTTTCGCATATAGCTACTTTAAAATAGCTTAATTACACTTCATAGCTATAGTTTGATAATTACGATTCGTAGCTACATGTTATAGGGATGAAAGAGGCGAACGAGATTGGGAAAGAGAGGAGAAAGGCGAGTGAGAGAGGGCAAGGAGTGGGAGAGAGGTGAATTGTATATGTATATCAGTTAGATAATTGTATATTATACATATGTATTTGTATATATGGCAAGCGAGATTGGGAGAGGGAGGAGATAGGCGAGCAAGAGAGGGCAGAGAGTGGGAGAGAGGTGAATTGTATATGTATATCGGTTAGATAATTGTATATTAATATATGCATTTGTGTATATGGTAAGTGAGATTGAGAGAGGCCAGCGAGATTTGGAGAGGGAGGAGAGAGGCCAGCGAGACTGGGAGAGGGAGTATAGAGGCAAGCGAGATTGGGAGCGAGACGAGCGAGATAGAGCAATAATTTGTATAATTCGCGGCTACGCTTGTATTATTTGTGTGTTTTTGTATAATTGAGTAATATAAAGTCTAGAATTATACAAATATGATAAAACTTGAAATGATGAATTGATACAAACATAAACTTATGAACTTTAAACAGTTATACAAAATATATTATATGAATTAAATTATACAAAAATTGAAAACTACACACGTTTATACAAAATTTAAAAAGTTATACACAAAAAAATTGAATGTATGTGATGACAAAACTGAAAAACCAAAGGAAATCATCGTCATATACAAATATAAACCATCGTATACAAATACAAATCAAACGAAGAATTGTTAGTTGCGAATTATACAAATGTGGCGAATTATACAAACGTGACTAATTATACAACTCGAAGTCAACTCACGTAATTAATGATTAATGTTAGTCGCGAGTGTAATTATAGCAAACTATAACTATGATGAGTAATTAAGTAGTATAAGTTTGCTTAATCACATAATTTTCCCAATTTTTTTTTCACTTCAACATTGGACTTATATTTAAATAGTATTTCTTTATTCTGATATCTTCGTGATATTTAACATTTGTATTGAAATTTAACTATTTTAAATTGCAGCGTGTGATTTGTATTCGGGAAAAGTATTTTCTATCAATCTCTTTTATATTCAAAACTTAAAATCAAAACTCCTGATTAAGATTAAGAGAGAAGCAACACCAAACTTATTTAATGGTCGAATCATGTTCTTACATACATTTTATTCAAAAAATCTGCAAAGCAAAATGCTTGTAGTTCACATGCGCTCACATGACAAACCAATCAATTAAACAAAGTCACATGACTCTTGATTCAAAATACACATATTATTCCATCACTTTTACTTACTTGACTTTTAAATTTGTCTTTAAAATAACATAATTTCTTTATAATTGAAACATTTATGTCTAATGAGAAAATTTATCGTCCGATAAATATTTAAAATTTATTTTAGAGTATTTAAAAAAAAAAAATCTATAATCGAATCACGCGTACAAAATTCATGTGCTCCCAAACGCGTAAAAAAGAAGAGTATAAATTGCATTTTGCGCGTTCAGTTTGCATTCCCTCCAAAATTTTATAAAACACGTTCTCATATTCTTCTGTGGGAATTAGGGCAACAACAAGATCGACCCCCCGATCGATAGGATTCGCTTCACCGGCGACAGATCTTCCCTGATTTCTACTCGGTAACATATTTCGATCATCTATTTTGGTCTCAGCAATGTATAACGTCTCTTGAATGTACAAATTTTTTCATGTTTTGTCGAATTTTACCTTTAAGTCGAGCAATATGCATGTTGATATTTGTCTCAGGCTTTTGTTCAGGGACGGATTGATTTATCAACGACGCTTAATTGTAGAGTAATTTGTGTAATTCTACTAGGTGATGCGATAAATTATGGTTAGCTGTAGAGGAGATTAGTTAAGTAGGTTATAGAAACGCGGAGTAATATAATGTAAATGGATAGGAAGTTTAGAGGAAAAATAAATGGAATGAGGTAGTTCTAAACTTCTGATTGTTAAGGTCCTGTCCTGTTTTGTACAAGTACAGGTACGTATATACTTGATAATGATCTGAAGCATGAATACACGTTCCTTCGAAGAATTTTTATGTTTATAATGAGTGATCTATAAAATTGTATAAATTGCACACTGGTTTTTATATACTACATATTAGAATATGTATTCATGTACTAGTTATTGATAAATGATGTATGATGAACGAACAGAGTTGTACTTATTTTATTACACCAGTTCTAGTGAATGACAAGTATTTAAATTTAATCTAGGCGTTTTCTTATCTTCATGGGATATGGCGATCTCTCTTTTTTTGAGATAGGGCTAGAGGATGGATTTTTGCTTAGTGGCTTTAAATTTTAATATGATGCCCTTAGCTTGCAATCTACCTTTTAGGTACTTCTCTCTTGGAAGTGTTTGATGCCAAAACAGATATGTAAACTTGGTTTAAAATGGCTGGTTAATTTTTCAGTTGCTACATAGATATTGATGGGAGATTTGTACGAGTAAATTTCAGGATGTTTTAACTTCAAATCGATCTGTATCTTCAGGGGAAGCCTTTCGTTGAATGCCCTTGGCTTTCAGGCTTCATAAGAATTCTGCAATGCTCTAAGGTAGGTAATGTACTAATGATCCATATAGCCAATATCAGAATGTGTTAAAATGTATCTGCAGCTTCTATGATACCCATAACTGGAATGCAATTCACTTCCTACTTCTCAGAAGTAGTAGTGCAATGTCAGGTCATATTTCCTTCACAGAGGATCTCAATTATCAAGCATCTGTTGCTTGTAGGAGAGCAACTCCGGAAAGTGCTTCTTAGATTCTGCTAGCCTTAACTTGCTAAGACGAAAATCCTAATACAGATAAGAGGGCACTAGTTTGATTTCTTGAAAGTTATGCTATGTCAATATATATGCCTTCACCCTAGCATAAAAAAACAGAGAGATTAAAATAACATCCGACATCATGGTTGCAGTTACGCGTGCACAATCTTGGCCAGCTTTCTGAGTTACATTCCTGCTGCAAAACAATATCGTAGTCCATATATTGCTTGAGGTTACATTGACAAGCTTTTTTTCCTCCCTTAGGGTATCGAGGTGATAAATCGAGCCTGAAGTTCTATCTTTGAAATTCACTCTTCCCAAGCTGAAACTTAATCATATATGAAGAAATTCACTTACTTCAGATATGCAATTTGCTGTTCATAGGTTGATACAAAAATACGCTGAAATTAGAGTCATGCCCTGAAAAACTCTGAGGTTAAAAGAAAACCCTTAACACTCAAATTTCTTGGTAATTTTCATGTTGTTTTCACATGCTGTGATGTATTCCATATTCTATTCATGTAATGCTATGATGCCTTTGCATTCTCTTTCATTTAATTTATTTATGGCTATTATGGTTCTGTAGATTTGGTGTGACCTTTTGTTTTTATTAGGTAATTTGGTATGTATATACAGGTCACAAGTCACAACCATTCAGATCTATCATTGAGGTTCATTCCTGTTGGAACATTCCATACTAAGAGTGCGTGGGCTAGAAAACAAGGTAGTTCTTTTCCCTAATGTCTATATGACCTCCATTTTGCTACTTCCCCATAGCAATTGTTTCAATCAAGTCCAGAAAAATCTCATGAGTGTAGCCGACCAGACCATTATAGCTTCAGGATCACTATACACATGATGGCTATTTTTGTAGTGACATGTCTAATGGGACCCTTCATCCTATTCCATAAGTGCTAATTTCCACTATGGGAATTTCCCATTAGATCAATCCATTTCCTTTTTGCTGCCACTCAAGCATCTAGGACACTTGGATCTTCTTAGGCCCAGTGATGCTGACTCCCACGTGAAGTAATATATGTTCTTCAATGCAATGCACACAGAAATGTTCCATTGAGCATCATTTCTTTTGACCGGTAATATTCCACTATGGTGCTGCTTTTCCAACTTATATGAGTCATATCTTTGTTCTTTCACCAAATTGGAATATATAAAGCTAGGAATCCATGCGAACTTAGCTTAAGCTAGAGCATGGTGGAAGAAAAAAGAATCTATGTAGGCGTAACCTGTTTACTGAAACTATGTTTCGTCATGTTAGTACATTTACTGGGGGTCGTAACCTTCTATAAGTCTTTTAGCTCTCTCAGAGACTTTTATGCCAATATAAAATATAGAGAACTTCAAGTACTTTTTTAAAATTTTATTTTGTATAATGTTTTCCTGAGATGAATTTTTAAATGGAGAAACATGGTAAGTGAGAATTCAGATAACTAACTGCAGTTTGTTTGAGATTGATGCATAACTGTTGACTGTTGTTATAAGACAGAGTTAGTAATAATCTTGGAATACATTATGTCACAATTTAGCCAGAAAAGACATTGCTGTCTTTGTTAGATAATGTGATTGACTTTACATACTAATAATTTTATAGTACAATTTCATCGAAGGGAACAAAATAGAACCCAGCAAACAAAAATGTTGCTCGGATGAGTTTCACCAGAAACAGTAAACTAAGTTCAGAGGTATCGTCTGTTTTTTTTTTTCTTTTCTGTTGCTAGTATTAGTTTTTATCAGGTGGCATCTTGTTTTCTAGGGATCTCTTTGGCTTCTTGTTTCCTTCCAGAACCTAGATGGGAGTCCATGCTGAGGTATTGGGAATGGACTATACTGTACTGCTCCTTTGGAAACTTCGACTTCCCACCTGCAATAATTAATGGATGAGTATAAATTTCTAATGAAGTCAGAGCACTGATATATTTAGCACGCTTCTAGTAGGTACAATTGAAATTTTAAAAAATCTCCTGGCGTGACATAAATATAAGTGAAGCTGGAACTGAGAAGAAATTTCTTTAAACTCATCCTTTCCCTTTTTACTAGATTTTTGTGAGAATTATGTGGGGAGTTGAGTGGATGTGTTTCTTCAACACTTGAACATGAGCACATGACATCTGCTTGTATAAATATTTTTAAAAAGAATATATAAGAGAAGTCTGTACCCATTATTATAGACAAGTCCTGATGCTTTGGTATTCCCCACCTGTTGGCTTAAACTTTTGGATCTGCTGTTGTTGCAGCTTTTCTATGTTATTATTGTTGTTAAATATTAGTCTATACAATGGATTTTGTAAAGTAGTTAAAAATCGTGGACTCAAAATAATATACAGTTATGAATCTAGAAGCAAATATGATGTCATTGTCGAACCTAAATTTGGTAACCAAATGATGAATCAAAATCAGCATCTCCAGTTTGGCAAGTTCATTTCCAGGACAAGCATGGGCACCGTTGCCAAATGGCATGTAGGTATTGGGTTTGGGAGCAACCTGCATCCATCATCCACCACATAATTTTTTTTTTAGGAGTAAACCAAATTTTCATATTTTAAAATTCTAGACAGGTGGAGAATTGAAAAGCACTTTGTTAGTACTCGATCACCACATACCTCAAATCTGGAAGCATCAAAATTTTGAGGGTCGGCAAAAAATTCTGGATTGTGATGAATGTTTCTAAATAGTGGCATGACCTTCCAACCTTTTGGAATCAAGTAACCTGCATTAAAGATATCTTTACTATTCATGTCAAATGAGTAATGCCTTACAGAGTATTGAAGGTATAATTAATAATGATACATATGAAAACTACATTTTCGTGCTTCAACCAACCTTCACAACTAGTGTTAGGCTTCTTTTTATCTCACAAGTCGGTGGACCCAAAAGTGTGTGATTTAGGTTCACCAACTTGTGGGACAAAAAGAATCCCCACATAATTAGTGTCAGTTGTGTGAGACACAAAATAAAGTTTTTTCAATACATGCATTTCTCAATTTGTCTTGATGTACTTGTGTCCAATGAGTCTGACATGTGAGTTTGATTGACATTGTTCTCTATTTCAAAACTATTTACTTGGACATTCTCATGGTACCCTTGATGAAATACGACTGTAGGAATAACACCATATCTTTAAAATCACTGTACTTTTGGTATGTTATATACATTTTCATGTCCAGTCAAAGCCTCATAAAAAATGACTGAATGATTAGTTAAAAAAAACTACTATTAAGTATCTACACTAATTGTCACACATACTAGTATTGAATACGAAGTAGTCGTCTGCGTAAAATAGATAATCAGAAAATTTCTACAGGAGCACTGAGTTTATATATGTGTGTCCTTTTGTACTTATATATCCATGGTTGAGCTTACATTTGATAACTAATGACTTACCGTCGTATTCTACATCAGCCACAGCTTCTCTAAAGGTGAAAGATATAATGCTAGACATCCTTAAGCTCTCTAAAATGACCTGCAATTGAAGTTCTTCTAGCTGATGAGAGGAAATGTTCTTTTCCTGAAGCTGTGAGTATAATATAACTAATTCTAAGCAGAAAAGATTACCCTGTAAGTTAGTGACATATTTCTTGTTTGAGCCCATGTCAACGGCTTCTTTCCTCCATTTGATTCGTAAATTGTTCTTTGTTCTGCCTGCACTTGAAGGATTTTTTTCTTAAACCTGGGAGCCGGACTCACAATAGAACATGCTAGAAGTGCTAATGGAGATGGGAAACAGAAAGGGATTCACCATATGTACACTGATACTGCAAATTTATTTTTACACTAAAGTACATTTTAGCTTACTGTAGTAGGCTAACTAATTGATTACCTGTAGTTATCTTTTTGGGTGATTTGATAGTGTGTAGTTCCTTTTCACTGTGTTTATTTAACTAATCAATAGAAAGCAAAAAAACTAGGTAGGAACCAAAAGGAATCTGGAGACAATACCTTAACAGTTTCTAAAAGTTTCTGGTCATCAGAGAGGTACTTAAGAATCCATGTTAAAGCACTAGCTGTTGTGTCCTGGGCGGCAAAGAGTACTCCGATGACATTGTCAGCAATTTGATCTTCTGTTAAATTCTTCCCTTTCTCATCTTTGAAATTCAACAGATGACACAAGAGAGCTTTCTCTACCATTTTTTTCTCCTTCCTTTCACTGATTATCTCTCTAAGAATCTGATTAAGCTTCCTCCTTGCCTTTGTCAATAACAGAAAATTTCAGAATAAAGCTATGGAATAAACAAGTTATTCCCAGTAAGTTCATAGGGAAGGAATAAGAGAAGCTTTACTTACCACCATAGCTTTGTAATAAGCAGTTCCGGGTAAGTTCGTAGGGAAAGAGTTATAGCCCTTTTCTACTATGGAATAGTTTTTGTTGAGCTCCTCTTTGTACTTAGCATCCAGATGACCAAATATAGCAAGAATGCCTACTTCAAAGGAGAACTGTAACATGTCCGTCAGATTCATGTGTTAGACTGATCTATTGATTATAATCTTGTGGTCAGCTCATTTGAAGATATAATTAAGTAATTTAATGCGTATGCTCTTTAACAGTTTAAGCTTCTTAGATGAGATGGTCTCACAATTCAACAAGGTGCACGAGCTACTAGTAACAAACCTTCTTCATCACACGGAATGTATTGATGGTTTGGTTTTTTTCCGCCCATAATTCCAAGGAAGAAATGGCCAAGTCCTCGATATCAGTAATTAGTTTACGAAGAGCTTCAGGAGCTAGCAAGCTCTGAACCAGCTTCCTTAGTCGAGAATGGTAGTTTCCTTGGTGAAAGAACAAAGCAGAAGGACCAATCAACCTCTCTTTGCTCTTAGGGTACGTTGGTTTGAACAAGTGAGCGTAAGTTACCAGCACGAATCTGGCAGCTTCAGGACTAGCTAGCATAACACAAGGATACCCAAGAATGTGTGTTTTGAATATATCACCATACCTGCAAACAAACATTCGAAATAGAATGAGTATATGGTATGTGCTTTTAATGAACTGATGAATATTCTTTTCTTTGAATTAAGAGAACCTTTTTTGTTTGTTAGCAAAGAAGACACTTGGAACTTGAGAGTACAGTTGGAGAGTTTCCCCTATGTACGGCCAGCCCATTGAACCAGGAGGCAGCTTTGCTTTTTGTAAGTTTCTCCATTTTGATTTCTTTAATGAAATATGATAGTATAAGAGAAGAGCTATAAGAAAGAGAAGGACGTAAAGAATGGAACAAGAAATATTCTCCATCTAAATAGAGAAGATCAGTGTTGTGCTTTGCAATCTTATATTATATTTATTTCTTTTGTTTTGATGGATTATTTAAATAGTGAGAAAGAGTTGTCCCTATATATAGGAAGAAGAGGCTGGGATAGAGACGAGATATATAGGGAAGAAGGTTTGCCAAATGTTGAGTAAGAGGGGTTATTACATTACTGTATCATGATATGCCATATAATAGATTCATACATATCTAAGGTAGGAGGACGAAATTGGACCACATTAAGCAATATCAAATGTCATCTGATGAAGTGGACCTATTGCGTTGAAACAAGACAAAATTCACACCAATAGCTGAGTACTTAGCTTTGTCTGCTTTGACGTATATTTTTGTGCTCCTCTTCTTTTAGAGGTAACTATTTTCGTTTTGTTCTCATAGTTGTGCCCATGTGATCTTTTGATTTCCTTTAACTTTTACTTTTTCGTTTGTGGATCATACTTTTGAGTTAATACCAGAAGAAATGGTGTAAGGCCCACTCAAGCGGAAGAAAATTCTCGTTCATATTGGTTATGTGCACCGCTTTTGAGCAAAGGTTCTATCGGAAGTAACCTCTCTACCCAACTAAGATAGGTAGGATAAGGTAGGCATACATCCTACACTCCTACCTTTCCCACACCACACTTGTGGAATTACCTCGGTATATTGTTGTTGTTGATTGGTTGTGTGGGGGCGTGGGGCGATCAGGAACTGATCATAGTTAGTAAAATACAGATATATAGATCTTATAGTATCCTACTCGAGTTCATAAAATAACACACACACACATATATATATATATGATGGTACCTCAATTCAAAAGTTCTCTTTCAACTGGAAAATGAGCATGTCCGTGGTCCATTATAGAAACATAGAGCCAACGTAAACAACAAAAAGTTTTGATGACTTTTTGAAATATACTCATTAATTTGCATATATAACATATGAGAATATTTTCTGGACTATGCAATAACGTTTTTCGTAACACCACTCTCCCTCTTGAGTTATTATAGCACATGACATGCTCTTCTAATTTGCTTTACCTCATAAGTGATTAGCTGTCAGCAGATGTGTATTTAGCTTCAAAAGCAATATCAGCGACTATAGAACTTTGTTGCTTCTGTATAACTGCTATGATATAATTGTCACGATAGCATTTTCCTTCTGCCTTTTAAATATTTCTGTTCAAGAATTCAGTTATTAGTGTTTCCAATATTGGGAACTCTGAAATGAACTTCTCAAAATTATCTATAGCTTTACTCTACATCCAAAAACAGATAAATATTTGTCCATTGCACTAACTATTTATAAACCTTTTGTATAATGGTTAATTAGTCATACATTACTAGAGAAGAATTGATATTGATGCAGTTGTCCTACAAGTATTTGATGTTTTTGTAAAACATAAAACCGTGAAAAGTAATGCTATTTGATTATTGCTAATATATGATATTATATGTTAGTGGATTTTGTTTTTTTATATATTGCAATCCTTGTTAAGAGGAATCTTTTTCAGTATCTAATTTTAGAATTGTTCAGTACAGTGTAGTGTGTACTAGTGAAAAGTGTGATGCCACGACTGTGATGCTTTATCCACCTCAGAGTTTAGATTTTAAATGGTTAGGCATGATATTGATGTGTGAGGCTTCAACAAAGAGAATATAAGTTTCCATTCTTATGGTGCACGAAAATGGAGCCTAACCAAATTATTGTTGCACTAAGATAATAAAATTCTGGCTAAAAGTACCGCCCTTATTCAACAGAGTAGCCATCACAACCATTTGTATATTCCTTTTCCTATTTCTTATTATAATCGTGTTGTTTGAATTAGTTTAGATGTTACATCCATCAGTTTTTGAGTAACTGCTACTTTCCACCAACATATGTATCATGTAACTTTGTCCATCAAGATTTGGACTTTGGACAAATAGAAAGAAATTTTAAACTTGAATTGTGTTAGGATTTGAACTTGACACCTTATGGCTCGTACTCACTTCATTGACTACTAGATCATGCCCTTGGATACAACCATTTGCATCTTTTAGTCTGTCCTAAAAAGAGACCTTATGAGGAAGATGGAGGATAGTTATGTATCATGTTTACAAATCACTAGTAGCTAAATTGCTTTGAGTTTAACTGCTTTCCTTTCTCGATATTTATTATACTATCCTTTTTACTGTGTAAATATGAAAGTATGTCTCCATGTGTGGTACATATATAGGAGTAAATGTTATAATTTTAAAAAGTTATCTTATCCATCCATTTTTAATTATCATAATTTCTTTTTTTAGGGTCAAACTAAAAAAAGTCGACTAACATTTTATGATATTTTTTTTTATCATATTGATATGCAAAATATTATAATATATTAGTTTTAAAAATTAGTCAAATTAACTTTTGAAAACGAAATATGACAAATAAAAGTAGATGGAGGGAGTAAATTGCAAAATCTTGAAAGTCCCATTGTCGCAATGAGTCCTCACGTGCGAGGTGTTGGGATCTACAGAGCAGTACTCCATAATAGAGCCGCTATGATCTCAGAGATTTTGGGTCAGATGGTCGGCATAACGCGCCATCTATGATATATTGATTATTTGACGTCGGATTTCCAATACCAAGATGGTGGGAGCCGTCATTCATTGCTGGATGAGACACGTGTCAGCATCATACGGCCATGCTTATCACATATGGATAAGGAAAATTAATAGGATGAGTGTGTTACACTGTTACTATACACTGAATGATTTACAAAAAAACTAGTAAGTCGAGAAATATAACGACTTGTGGGATGAATTTCATCCTTCTATCTTTAATCAGAAATATAAAATTGTATTTTGGAAATAAATGAAAAATTGATAGAAAGGAATTCCCCTCTAATGAGTCTTACGCAATATAAACACATATTAATCAAGTAAGTGAGTTATTTAATAGAATTAGATGGTTGTCAAAGGATCTAGTTTATGAGAGTTTAGGCTTATTTGATTTTGAATCCATAAATTTCAAGTTTTGAGTAACAAGCTTGAACTGTTATCAACCCAATTTTCAGAACTTCCTCATATGTGTGACTAGCCTGTTTAATCTTTGATGTCCTCATGACACAAGCCTGTTGAAGATTTACGTTTGTTTATTGGAAACACCTAGAGGTACTAACAATGCACCTAGGGGTGTACAAAATTGAACTGAAAATCAAACCAAACTGCAAACCGAAAAAAACCCGACTAGTTGTTTGGTATTGGAAAAAAAAAAACCCTAACTATATTTGGGTTGATTTGATTTTAACTAAAAAAATCAATCTGAGACCAAACCAACCCGACATTATATATGTAATTTTAAAATTTTATTTTATACATAAAAATATTTACTTTGATATAATTTAAAAATATTTCTTATACTATTTCATAGTTTTTATCTTTTAATATATTATCACAAGTTTAAAACTTAGAATTTGGAATGGTTCAATAAAGATTATAGTTCATAGATGTTGATGATTATAATAAAACTTAAATAAAAATCAAATTAATACTAATGTAAAAAAGAAAATCAATTCAACACTAAGAATGACAATAATATTGAATATTTGTTCTTTAGTTTTACATTGATTTTGTCACGACCTAGACCGTCGTGATTGGCACCTACACTAACACTCCGGCAGGAGAACTACTTTTGCAACCCAAACCAAACAAAACAAATAATCTAAAAACTAAGGCAGAATAGTCAATTACTAAGGAAAGACAATAGAGTTCCCATAAACTCTAAACATAAGTTCAATAATAAACTAAAGTAAATGCGAAAGAATTAACTTAGAACCTGAAGGTCAATGTACCAAAACATTCTAACAATGAACCAAGTCTAAACAAGAAGTGATACAATCCTCAAACTAATGAACTAATCAATTAACTATAACAAATGTCTAAGTTCGGAAATGGTGGACATATACGAAAGAGAATCCCATAGTAGCTCGGAAGAATTGGTTCACCCTTGAATTCGAAGCGACGGTCACTGATCTTCTAAGTGAGGTTTGTCAGTAACCGCTTGAAGATGTCCTGTACTTAACAAAATAAGAGCAAGTGCAATATCAATACACAACCACAATGTACTGGTAGGATCACACGGCTATCCGACTAGTGCAACATAACCAAGTCAAACATCATTATAATCACATGCATATATATCAACATATACAACATGAAAAATCAACAACACATTTCACATTTATCATCACATCATTGGTCTTTCCATGGAATCCAAACTCAAATAGTTAGCATGTCGGAACGTGGCAATTCGATCCCATATTTATGTCGAAACATGACAATTCAATCCCATATTTATGCCGAAACGTGGCAATTTGATCCAAGTTAGTTATGCCGGAATGTGGCAATCCGATCCCATTCACACACCACAATCACAAACACAAGTATATTCTTAAGATCATATATTTAAGTTATGATTTCATGGTAACGATAATTCATCTATCTCATTTACAACAAGTGTGATCAACATTGCAGCATTCATACATATAAAGTATCATAATGAAGCAAGAACAAACATACATCATACAATCCTTGTTTGAAACCCTAAGAAACTTGATTTTTCCCTTCTGGATTCGTTTCGCTTGTTCTTGGTCTAAAAACAATTAATATAATATGGGAATCAATAAACAACCATTAATTACTCGGATTACTAACAATTATATGAACCCTAGATCAAACTCATGATCCCAATCATCAAATTTAGGGTTGTTTCCACCATAAAATCTATCACAAAACCCTTCCCTATTAATATTCACTCATTTTATTACGTTCTACGGATCGAAAAATGGATTCGGAGAGTGAAAAACTTACTTTTAGCCTCAAGAATAGTGAAAAATGAGTAAGAGTCGCCTGAGGGTCGTTCCTTAGCTCAAAAAGTCAAAAAACGCATAATGAGGTCGTTTAGGGATTTATTAATGAATTTAAGTTGCGTTGGACCCGCTGCAACGGCCCTCACCCTATTGTAGCGGCCCCGCCAAAGCGACGAG